AAGACTTGGTTTCCTCTCCTACAACAATTGCTGGTTCTCTTCTTAGGCCTGTTAACATGGGTTCTGGACTGAGGCAGAAGTGTTAAATATGGGGTTATGGAACATTCCTGAGGTTTTAAAGAATATTGTACTTGATATTAATTATTGTCCTTTAATTAATGTACCTGTCCTCAGAGACAAATGAAAAATTACTTATTAAAGTATAAAAAATTAATTGCAATTCAATCTGGGGCCAGGGATATATTAAATAGTTACTAGACAAATATAAAGCATGTGTAGAACTGAATGTAGAAGACATGAGGCACAGAGGAGCATTTTCCAAACTCTGAGTGCCAGAAACCTTGCCCACCCACAAAGCCATGAAGCTACCCATATGTTAAATGTTTAAGCAGTTTACTAGTTTATAGGAGTGAATTTGCTATGTTAAAAAAAATGAAATGCGACATTCTTTGGGGGAGGGTAGGAAGATATTCTTACCTTTTTTAATGTATGCATGAAAAAAAAACTGTTAGAAATGGCATCCTAAGGGGGAAATATTGTAACTGTAATTTACAAGTAGTAAGTGAGTGAACAGTTCAAAAAGAGATCAAAGAATATCTACTTGATGTAGCTATAAGCAAATCTGCAGAACTCAACCTACATGAAATGTTTTGCTACATTTCAATGGATGCAAGACTATCCATGCTGTAAGTTTGTTTTATTAAGGCAAAAACATTTACATTTCTCTTGAGCTATCATCATCATTTTGTAACCCTCTCCTGTAGTTGTGTAAACCTGCCCTGTCTTTAAAATTAAAATTGATTGCTTTATTCTACCAACTGAATTTTTTCCTGGAACTCATAAGTAACTGGTGTATTTTAGAAGTTCAAAATTAGTAGCACAATGTAAAATACATGCTTACATTTCATGGTATTGGTATTAGGAAATACATCTGCTGGAGATTTTCTTCTGTTAATAGTGATGCCATCAGACCCATCTGGTGAAAGAGAATTTTGAGATGTATCCTACTTCATGTTTGAATTTTGTCAACCTGCTAATACATTTCATAAGGTCAATATCCATATCTGTTTCTTTAAAAGTTGATTATGTCAACTAGTACAATTTTGAGCAGTCTTATGTTTTAGTACATTTCTTAAACTTTCCCTATAATTTAAGTACTGGTTACTTAATGGATAACATAGTTTGATGGTTTGATGGGATAATATAGGCAATTTGTAGATGTATAAATAGCTTGCCTAGAATTCACTTTTATGCATTTCCTTAATTCATGCAATGTGTGGTGAATAGCATTGGCTTACTGATTTCTTTACATGCCATTATCTTTTATCTTTCCAAAGAACTAGGGTGTGTTGTGTCTAATAGATCTTTAGCTGGAGTAAAAGTCTTCCAGTCCTTGTTTGACATTTCATGACTTGGTGAGAACTTTAAAAGACTATTGTGCTTTGTTTTTCAATTCACCATCTGTTTTTGCTACAGTACATGTTTCTGAAAGAAAAAATTAGCTTCTACGTGATCAGTAAATAAGGGAGTTAGGTCTGTATATTTTGGAAGTGGCATCAGTTTATATGCAACTTTTCCTAGATAAGAACAGCCAGAAAAACAGGAATAAAATTATAACCGTGGAAAGAGAGGAAAAACCCCTCAGTTTAGCTGCTACACCGGAAGCAGAATCTATTCCAACTTTGTTTTTTAGTATGTTTGGTACATAAGTTTTTAAGACAAGTGCAGTAACATCTCTTTATTGATTTGGAAAGTATGTTCTCATAATCAGCCAAATATTTTGTCTTGTGTATTCAAATCTATGTTCTTAATAAGGTTATTATAATTTGTTTTTTTATTATGCACCTTTTGTCTTTATGTGAATTAATAGTTTTTGTCTTAAACTAAAATGAATCATATTGCTACAACCTTCATTTTTGGTAGTGTTTGCAAGGCCTGTCTGTTCATCCTTCTATTTTGTGCTTTTCAGGATAGTGTTTGCTTTAGACATTTATCTTATAACTAGCATATTATTAGATTTTTTCCTTAAAAATCCAACCTGGTAAGTCTGTTACTTAGGAGATGGTTGAATATGCTCAATTTATTTGTATTACTTTTTTATTTGAGTTCTTTCCACAAGCTTATTTTGTTACTGCTGTTGGTGAATTGTTTTATTTGCTACTTTAATTTCTTCTTGTAATTTGCATTGATACAGATAGTATTTTCCTCCCTCTGCAAGTTCAAAAACTATACAGTAGGGATGTATATAGCTTTAGTTAACTACCATTATTTAAAAAAATACATAAATCACTAAGTTAACAGTGTAAAATCATAAATTTCTGTCCTTTTTTTTTAAAACAAAATGCAGATTCAGGACACTTTATCTCTTGAGCTGTCTCATTCCAGTATAATTTATTCTTGTCGAGAGTTTTACTTCTACCACTTTTAAGCTCCCAAAGTTTTTATTAACTTTAGGCTCTCTTTTAGGACACTTTTTTAGGAAAATTGAAAAATGAGCACCTGCTCCCAGCTCTGACTTTGCAGGGACTTTCCCCTGGCAGGTGCACTTCCTCCTGAGCCAAGTTCAAGGGCAGCATTGCAGTGCAGAGCTCCATTCCCAGTTGTATCCATCATTCCTTCTCCAATTAATACGTTACAGCATTTCCGTTCTTTAATTTCTGTGCATTTTAAATCTCTATGGAGGCTGTAATTACAAAGTAGAGTGGTTTTATCTTTTCTGCTTCTTGTGCCATTTTTTCCACAAACCCTTTCTGCACCCCCATTTATTTTACTGTAAGATTTTTCAGAACTGAAAATTTGTTAGGAAGACTTGTGTTGAACAAGAAATGTCTTTTTGCCTCATTGAGTATCTAGGCTAACAGTAAGGTTTCCCGGATTGTGCATTGCAAACCTCTGGGACATTCCATTCATATAAAGTATGTTGGGCATGGTGACTCCTGGCATTTCCTGGTATCTAAATATTACAGATAATTACGTAGGTAAAAGAGTTAAAGAGTACTCTGAGGCTTGTAACACCAAACAGCAGTGTTGTTCCTTAGTCCAGAAGGTATGGGACTATGTAATGACCTGGCAGTATGGGCCCAGGAGAGAGTCTTAGTCTCAGCCAGTCGCCTAGCTTTAGATTCATAACAGGACTGCAATTACGTAAATTGCTTGGAGTTTGGGGAATTAGCCTGCTTTTTTTTTTTTTTTTTTTTGGACAAGCCCACAGCCAGGAATTTTAGCTTCAGAAAGATATTTTAAACTCACAAGACTAGAAGAAGCCTGTGGCACTAGTTTGTGCAATGTCCTAAAAGACTACAGGACAGGAGAAAAGGCAGAGACGGACATGTCTCTTCAGCTTTAGCTCTGGAACTCTTAATTTCACATTAGTATGGGCCTGCCTTTTTTCCCCATCCACTTTTCCTCCACCTTGTCAAGGCGGAGGGAAGGAGATCACAGAAAGGTGGTGTGTGAGCCATCCTTCTAGAAGGCTTAAGCTACAAATAGGACCTAGTATCTTTTGAACAGCTGATAGCTGTTAGCTTCCAGGTCTCAGCTAGGGGAACACCTGGTTACAAGTTAAATTACCCCGAAGGAAAGTCTAATATTTATAGTTCATTCACAGTTATTCCAGCCTGGCTGTGATTCACCAGTCTCAAATTATATTTGCTTTAAGCATTGTTACCTGGTGAAAAATCTGAAATTTCATCTTTATAAGTTTTCAGGGAATCACTGCTAAGCAAGGGTGAGCTCAAGGTCACAGGGTCACATTGTCTTTTCTTCAACTATTCAGTAGATAGTGAAGCCTGAGACCTTTTTCTTTGTGCTTTTTATCTTCCAATTTTTCTTTTTTTGCTTTTTTGTCTATTCTTTTGGTTTTTTAATGGATAGAGCATTTTTAAGGAAAAAACGTCTTCGTTGTCACTCTAGATTTTAGGAGGAAGTAACTATATGTGTATGTCTTCAGTTAACTATAATGAAAAGGTCCAAGAAATAGTGACTGAAGATCTACTGAATTGATATACATACATGTCCTCACATGACTTTCTTTTAAAATGGATTTTAAGTGCTTTTCCCTGGAAAAGCAAAATGCAAGGTGGTAGGTAGAAACTCATTCCCTTCTGTTACAGAAGGAACATAGTAAGATTTTGTTTTGTATTTTCTGTAGAGCGTGTTTTAAATGAGTGAAGAGAGGAAGCGGAGGGATTAGTGTAAGAGTTTCAAGGTGGAGTAGATTTTAAAATGCTTCTAGATAATAAATACATGTAATTGAACAAATTACAATTCTTGAGCATTTCTTAAATTTGGTATTGTCAAAGAATACAAATGTTTGAGTGTTTATTCTGTGTACACAATTGTGTCTTATTTTGATGCTTTTGTGGTTTAGATATTTTATGTTCCACAAAAGATGAACAGTACCATAAAACTTCAGTAATTTGAAAGAGGAAAGCTTGCCCTGAGCTCCTTAAAATTTAAATGAAAAATAATATTTAAAAATAGTCATTGGAATAATTTCAAGAAAAATACTATTTAACACTGCTAAAAATTATAAAGTTCTGGATTTTCTCTAAGAAATAGGTGATTTATTAGAATTTCAGTTATTTGAAAGTGGTTCTTCTAAAAATATTTATGACCGTAATAGGTAAGCACTCCCTTTAATTTTATTGATATTGGTAACTAATATATAATATTTCTATGTAGCCTAGTTTCAAATTATAAATTAAATTGAACAAATGGTTGAAATCATATTCTTTATACATTTGACTCTGACACAAGTAGAAATAGAATATTAGCGTTTTGTATTTTTCAACATTGTGTTCTCAATGACTGTTTACTGCCTTTATAAAGGAGGATTCATCAATTTTAATAAGCATTTGTGGTTGAAATGCATATCTAGAAATTACAAACTGATAAAAATTACAATAATATATTTGTGTTTGAGTTTCTTTAATGTTATATTTTTCAAAGGAAAATGAAAGGAATGGTATTCTAATGTTACCTTTTGTATTATTTTGCAGGTATATTTTCTTGATTATAAATCAGTACCTTTTGATGAGAAAATGGAAAGTCTAATACAGATCAGGGAATATGCAAAGGAAGTGAAAAAAAGAAATATTTTATTATCTGGTCTTCTTATATATTTCCCACAGGTAAGTAAAATTTTGTGTTCTGTAGACTATAGTTTTAATGGAGGGAAACTGATTTTTTAAAAGCAAAGATACATTAATGATAAAAATTTTGGCTGGAAAATTGTGTTCTCTCATAAGTAGAACCTCTCTTGAGGGAAAAATAAAATCAAAACAAGTGTTCTGATGAAGGAAAATAAAGTTAAATTGGTGAATATCTTATACTAGGTAGCCCACATGGGGTTGCCAGATTTGTTAAATAAAAAAATACAGAATGCCTGGCTAAATTTGAATTTCAGATAAACAATAAATTATTTTAAGTATGTCCGAAATTTGCAATTTGAAATTAGAAATTCAAATTGAACTAGAGTTTTGTATTTAACTGAGTTCAGAATGCAGCCATTTGTATAATTTGAAATGGCTTGTTTCTTTTATGTTGTGCTAAAGATGTTGGTGATCAGGTTTTTAATTACTTGAAAGCAATGCTTGGCATTCATATTATAAGAGGGCATGCTATTTAGAGAAAAATTCTTATTGTCACTCTATTAATAGCAGAAAGTTAAGTTGAAGGCAAAATGAATTAGCATTATAGAGTCTTAGTGCAAAGAAATGCTATTTAAATCCAACTATTTGGAGACTGTGTTAGGGAAGATGGATATGCCCTTTGTGCATAGATACCTTTTATTGAAATTGCAGAATGCTTTGTAGTGTCTTCGAGGTACCCCACAAGAATCAAGAAAGTCGAAAAGTCAACGGGGTTTTTATTGGTCTGGAATAAAAGTGATTTGTACTGACCAAGGAATGTATTGTTGATGAATAACAGTTATTATTTGTGAAATATTTAAAGTACCCTTTTAGCCTGAAGATAACAACATTTCTTTTGAAACAAATGGATTTTAATTAAATATAAGGACCATCTTTTAGCCAGTTCCTTGGTTTTCTTTGAGGTGGTTTTCTCTGCTTCCATAATATAGAAGTATGGACTCTGGTTAGTCATCAAGAACGAGGCAAAGCTGAATTTACTTAGGATCATGGAAGTATAATATACTAGCATTGTAGGGGCTTTTGAAGTCAGGGCAGCCAAGGCCTGAAGAGATACACATACTTGCCCAAGAACAATACATAACTGGAAGAGTAAGAATAAGAACTCAGGTCTGTATCTTTGTTCAAGAATATTCCATCTTTGGGGCGCCTGGGTGGCTCAGTCATTAAGCATCTGCCTTCAGCTCAGGTCATGGTCCTAGCGTCCTGGGATCGAGCCCCACGTTTGGGCTCCCTGCTCTGTGGGAAGCCTGCTTCTCCCTCTCCCACTTCCCTTGCTTGTGTTCCCTCTCTTGCTGTGTCTCTCTGTGTCAAATAAATAAATAAAATCTTTAAAAAAAAATTCCTTCTTCAATAGATTGTCTTTTTTTGTATTCCAGATTATTGTGGTTGGAAAAATCAGTTATTTCTCTTGTGCCATGCGAAGGAGTCATGGATGCACACTACTCATGCTACACTATGTAGTTATAAAAATAGTTCATTGAGAAAAATCTCAAAAGCTAAGAAATGGAAGAGCACATACAGTCCCCGGGACTTTATTTTTCCTGTGATTTAGGCTAAACACAAAGGGTCTTTATGCACCCTAGTTGATATTCCTGTGGGAGAGTATGGTCCAAATGAAATATAGCATGCCTAGTGAGATGTGAATTTCAGATAAACAATAATTTTTAGTACAAGTATATCTGAAATATTACAGGAAACATACTTGCACTAAAATTCTTTGTTATCTTACATGAAATTCAGTATAACTGGGCACCTTGTGTTTTTATTTCCTAAATCTGACAACTGTTGTGGAGTTCATATTCGCAACAAAATTGTTCATTTCTCCACAGCTGGCATTCTCTCCCCATGAATGCCATGGAGTTGCATATCTACATGACTCTGCACCTGTGACTGGAAAAGTGGTCTTGTTGAAAAGGAGGAGCTTTTGGAGCCTATACTTTGCAGCTGACCATTATTATTTTGAGCAAATTTGGGACTGTTAAGCAATCTGTTTACTTAGCTATCAAGACTGTATAGAAAATGACCCTGCTAAGCCTTCAAAATATGTCTCTCATCATTTTAAGAAGCAAAGATAGCTTACTTGAATGTTGCTTTTCTTTAAAATAGTGAAGATGTCTGAACTGTGTAAGAATGTTTAAAATATAGGATTTACTTTTGTCCTTAAAGACACAGGTGCCAGTTGACTCTTACTAGGCCAAGACATGTCCAGTGCAGAATTCCACCTTAAAGAGCATTTACCAAAGGATTCTGCAATGTTCATTAGATAGGCCGTTAAAGAACTATGGTTAAAAAATTGGGGAGGCATCAGTGAATAGACTTAAACAGATGTCTTCCACGGAGGGCTTCTTGCAAATTCTTAATAAGCTGATGAACATTTGGTATCTGCAAATTGGGGACAAGGGGGATATCATTTTCCATTTTCTACTGTAGCCCTTTAAACATAGGCAACTCTGAGGCTAATACTCTCTAAATGAAACTTTGGGATACAGTCCTCATGAATAGGCCCTACATAAAGAAACCACTACCTCTGGACAGTCTTTCACTTTTTTTTTTTTTTTTTTTTTACTTTTATCTTTTACTTCAGTACTAATTTTTCGGCTTAGCTAAATCAGTATCTTTAATTTTGAGGGCCTATTTGACAAACATTTTATCAACACTAAGGACATGAAGATTCCTAAGGTAAAGCTTCTGTCACTATTAAGTGAGAAGAGTGTCGGTTTGTGCTTTCCAAGGTGCTGTCAGATACAGTTTTTTATAGCGTTCATACATTGGACTTTGTTCCCTAAACCAGTCCATCGCTGTGATAGCCATTAGGGTGTTTTTGTAGACAGTTAATGTGTTTCCTTTTCAGTCTCTGATCAGTGAAATGAAGAACAGTGAAATCTGGAAAGATTTTTAACCATTTTTCATAAGACATAGCCTCAGTTGATTGGTGACTCCTCCTTGGATGAGACAATGTATTGGCTTCATTGTCTATGCTAGACATACGGTCTTTGTAGTTTAAAGAAGACCTGCATTCTTATGTATATAGTATCTCTGGTAATGGGGATGATCTGGACAGCTCAATTGCTCCTTCACAGTGTTGATGTATATGATATTTATAGTTAAATAGGACCACATAAGCTGCTGTTAAGTCTCTATTTGTGTTTTTGTAGAGTTCTACACACATGTAGGACTTTCTGTGTTTGGTGAATTTAAACTTATTAGTTACATTTCAGTCTTTTATCTTTTTGGAATTATAATAAAGCCTCTGATTAATTAGTCATACTTTCTTCATAATGAGCAATTCCAAATTGTGTACACCTTTAAGGAAGAAATTGATTTGGAAAAGGATAAGAATTCCTTCTTGAATATCTCTAAATCATCTGCAGTGTTACCCATGATCAATTATTGATAATTCTTTGATAATTCAATTACCAACAAATGCATCTAATCGTATAATGTTTCGACTCCATTTCTCCATATATTCTTAACTGATATAAGAAATTTCAACAGATCCTTTACTTAACTCTAGATATGCTCCACATGTATGCATTTTTTTTTTCTGGTCAGAGACATTATTTGTGAAATACTGAATATGCTATTTCCTTAGCTATATCAGTGTAGTAAAGCACAAATTAACTTTTTCCAAAATTGACTTTAAAATATTTTGCTGGCCTCAAAAAATTAATCATTTAAAATAGATTATGGGTAGCTTAATCTTAGACTTCTGGATCAAGTGGCTGGCTTGACCATTTATGTATAGTATAAAGTTTCCTGACTTTATTATCTAGTGCTCAATTTCTCAAATTGTAAATAAATAAGGAAAGACTGGAAATTTATGCTCTAGACTAGAAATGTAGCATAAAGTTTGCCCTTATAATTTATTAGATGAATTTAAATCAAGTCCTATTCCTCTTTCTAAAATAACTCTACAAACATAACTATGAATAATTAAAAACCAGGTTTTATAGCTTAATCCACATAAAGGATCTTAGTCCCTTTTTAAGTATTCTTTTAAATTTATGTGTAAAATATTACTCTTCATCCTATTATTCTAAGTTTGTGATGCAAGTTATCACTGAAGGCTGTGATACACAATGATGTATTTTGGGAACCTGTTCTAATTATTTGAAAATCTGTGTCTGATGATAAAGTAGTGAAGTTATAGACACCTACTATTTCTGGCATGAACTGTTCAAGTCCATAGTTTAGAGCTTTCAGTTTTAATTTTGCTGAAGTCTACAATATTTTTATCCTGACTTTGTGTGTGTGTGTGTGTATGTGTGTGGTTTTTTTTTAAGATTTTATTTATTTGACAGCACTAGTAGGCAGAGTGGGAGGGAGAGGGAGAAGCAGGCTCTCCGCTGAACAGGGAGCCCCATGCGGGGCCCAATCCCAGGACCTTGGCATCATGACCAGAGCCGAAGGCAGACACTTAACTGACTGAGCCACCCAAGTGTCCCATGACTGTTTTTTGACAGGCATTTACAAGTATATATTTTTTTAAAAAAAAAAATTTCTTCTGATGAACGGGTAATATTATGTAAACTGTTTTCCTGAGTTCTGTGAGCCATTCTAACAAATTATCAAATGCAAAGAGGGGAGGTTTGGGATCCCCTGATCTATATATACCTGTTGGTTAGTAGTACAGATGGCTCTGGATTGCCATATGAACTGGAAGACAATCTTGTGTGACTGAACCCTTAACCTGTATGTTCTGTGCTAACTCCAGGTAGCTAGTGTCAGAATTGTTCAGTGGGGAAAAAATAAAAGTCCACACATTTGGTGCCAGAGGTGTTGAGAGTAGAACACAGTTTCTCATTTGGTCAGTATATAACTTGATATATCTGTTATCTACTCACTACCACTAGAGATCTTGCAAATTGTGGACATTCTTTCAGCTTAAGTCCCTAGTGAAAATGTTGTGAATCTGAGCTCCCAGCAAATTAACAATGGATGTGTAGTATGAAAAATAAACTTTGTTGTTACTGTAATAG